TGACCGTGAGTTATGTTCACCCACTGCCGAAACTCAGGGCTCTTCGGTCAAATCTCATCTAACCACATGACGGGGTGGTGGTGGTGATTCACCTTCCGTACTGATTCTCACTGTTTCCTCGCTCAGTCGACTTCCGACGGCTTACTTCGTAACCGTCAGTCACGCGTGCTACCAACACAAAGCGAAAGATTGCCCGGTAACCAGTGTGTAGCCTCGAACCAGAAGTCAGCACAAAGTTAGGTAGTTCGAAAAAGCAAAGGAACAGATGGAGCAGTCTTGGAGAGTTTGTAAAGAATGGGGAAGTTGTTTAAGAAGATTAATATAAACCTGCAAATCAGTGATGATAGTTTGCTTGTCAGTTAATCAAACAAGAACGAACATCAACAAACCAAACGATAGAAGCAGTTTCAACGTTAGAGATGCCAAAGATTCAGACGGAACGACAAATTCAAGCTTCGTGAAGTTAAACCCATATTTACATACGAGTCAAGAAAGATCTGAACGTGGTAAAAGTCCAACTATTTAAAAAGGTTCCATCTTGTTGTAACAGTAACTCATGGGTTTAGCGAAATCGCAAGGTCCAGTCTAGTGCAATGGAGGCAACAGATTTTGTACTGTCCATGAGAGATAACTAGATATGATTGATTTTAAAAGTTAAAAATATTCCTTTTAAAGTCTTTTTACGTTTTAGCACTTTTGGGGGTTTCTATCCATAATTAAATCCACGTTTTTCCGACAACGTGTTTAGAGAGAATGATCCAGTCGACTGTCAAACCGATTCGCCAATAAAACAAACACTGAGTAGTCTGAGTAGCGCAGATGAATGCGGATGAATGTCTTGTTGTAAAAATGCAGATAATTTAACGAGTACATCAAGAAACCGTTCTCAGTCTATTGCCAAATGAATCAGTGATGGTGCCACCAACGCCTTTTCTCAAGTAAGCCTGTTGGTAAGATTGAGGAGAGTCGAGGCCAACCAGAGTATACCAAGTTCAATAGGTCAATTTTCATCAGCGTAATAAGACCAGAACGCTGACCGCATTGGCCTCCATTTGACATCTCCTCATATTATCTGACTGATGAACGCAAGTAGCTGACCATACTTGCTGATGGTCCGTAAAACTACAACCTATCTTCCGTTCAGTCCAGAGAGGGATGTACAGGTAACACAATACTTCTGTGTGAGGCTGTTTAATATGAGGATGCTTGTTGCAGGCAATACAAGCGACTTGCTATATTGTATA